ACCAAGCTCAGAGAACCCCAAGGACTCCACAGTTCAACCCTGAGCTACACATATTCACCTCTATTGGGTTTTTTTGCTCCTTTTGACAAGCATTCATTCCACACATTCTACCCACTACCTTTCTACCCACCATTTGTATATCGTAAAATTTCTCCATCCGTTTTCCCATCTTTGGTAAATATTCTACCAAAGTATACAAATTTATCTGTTTGCTTTAATTTGTTGCTATTTATGTATAACTTGCAGTCATTCGATTCATTTTCGCTGTCAAACACAACTACCTCGTGATACATTAGGTTTTCAAATGCATACTTCTTGTTGCATCTACAGTCTATCTAACCTTTACTGCTCTCTCTGCATCCAAAAATACATACTTTCACATCTCCAACAAACACATCTCTAATGTCACCATTAACATCCCTTACACATTGATCCATAAATATATCAAACAACTTAAGGGAACATCACACATCCTTGTCTTATGACTTATTCAATGTTGAACCATTCACTAAGTATTGCATTTATTTTCACATACACTTTATTTCTATCATATATCACTCTTAGTGATTCAGCAATCAACCTTCAATTCCATATTTGTGCAAAACATTCCATATTTGTGCAAAACATTCCATAAATCAAACTTATTCAATTTATCATATGCATTCTCTAAATCAACAGTTGCACAATAAACTTTCTCACATTCATTCATTTCTCAGTGCTGAAAAGTAAAAATTTGGCTTGTACACCCTCTGCCCTGCATGAAGCCAAATTACACTTTCCGGATTCACCTCTCATACCATTTCGATCAGAAGTCTGCCAAACATGTTCCCAGGCATATTTAACAATTCCCTTGTAGTTTTTGCATTCAGTCTTGCTACCTTTCCGCCTTGCATAAGGGAAAAGTAACAACATTTTTCCAATGGTCAGGAACAGATGGGTCTTCTTACACACACAGTGAACAATAATAATAGCATTATGTGTTTATTCCATATAAACAAACCATTTCCTTATTTTAATGTTTTCCCAGTTCCGCTACCTACCCCTGCAGCCATAGAATTTTTCAGCATTTTCATGGTACTCATGGCTTCTTTTTCATCCGCCTTTTTCTTGGACACGAATGTTTGTAGCATTTGTTTCAATTCCACTTTTCATCACATCGCTGTTGTTCCCATGAAAATCTCTAAAATACTCCTTCCACCTTTGCCTCATTTCAGTTTCATTCCAAAGTGTTAATTTGTTTGTTCGTTTGTTTTTATGTGCAGGAGACATCTGTGCCAAAGCTCCCCCCACTCCCCGCAGAAAATATTTTGGACTCGGACCAAGAGAGCGTAAAGACGCTGGGTTCTGACTGTCAGCAGCTGCCTTGGCGGGAATCTCGGAAGAAGACCCTCCCACCCCTCGTTCCAGCACCAGACAGGTAAGGTCTCTTCGGAACTATTTAGAAGGGTACTGGATGAGTAGCAGAAGCGTCATTCCAATTTGGGTTGCCCACCACAGAATAGGAAAAATGGGTACTTGAGAAGTCTGGATAGTCAACTCTGGAGTGAAAGAAAGGCTTCCTGGAACCAAGGCCGAGTTAAGAGAGCCAGTGCAAATTGTCATGGGAATTAAATGCTCACAGTAGATATTCTCCTCTCCCTTTTGTCTTTCTTTTTCTCAGATGCTGTCTTTCTCACTCATATTTCTCTCCACCATAACATCTCTGCTTTCAGTCTCGCCGCCTTACTTGGTCTTGAACATTTTCTTCCTTATTTCTCAATTTTTGTCTATCTTTCACCACCACTGTCCTGTGTATGGACTTTATAGGGACTTGCTTGAGAGTAAATGCCCAGTGTGTAGCATACCCAGCCTTTCTATGAAATAGTGCCACTGCAGAAGAAGCTTACCAACCTTGAGCGTCTTACCTCACCCCACTCCACCTGCATCCCCACTTCTCTTAAAATGGTTTTTCATGAAGACCACTTCCTATTGCTCGAAGGTTGAGGGAAAGGGTGAAAAAACCAAATCCAAAGGTAATACTGAAAGTCTGGATGTTTCTGATGAACATCTTCATGAGGTTTCTGTAGCCATTCAATCACAATCAGCATATTCATCAGGAGATCTAATTCAGACCAGATCTACAGTGGATGGGGCCACACCACGTACACAGACAGGGCAGGGATTTTCTTTTATGAGTTTTTTTTTCTTTCAAACCTTGTTAAACCTCTGTTAGAGCTTACAGTCCAGTTTTTATGTGTTTCTCCCTTTAAAAACAGTGTGACATTGATTTTTGGCAGTCTTGCCAGCTAAATTTGGTGGAGTGGTCAGAGGAGGCTCAGGAGCCCAGAAAAAGGGGGTTTGGAGCCATGGGAGGTCTGGTTGCCTAGTGTTGTGCTAGAGTTAACAGATATTTATATTTCTCTTCTCAGTAGTGAAGCAGTTCAGGTGTTCAAGGCCAGTCCTCGGGCCCGGCAGATCAAGAATTCAGCAGTGATGACTCCACCTCCTATCCATGTCAATGGCATGATTAGTCAAGAGGTATGAACAATACAGAAGAGGAGGCTTGAAATGCATAGGATGGATTTGCTCACACATGATCACCCATCACACTGGCAATGCTACACTAGGGGAAGAGCTGTAACATTCAAGGAAAGCTCTATCTAATTTGACATGGCCTGCCTCCTTTCTTCTTCACAGTATGCACCCCGAGAGAATTTGCTTATTCTGGACAGCCAACAAAATTCTTCCCCTGACAGCAGCGACCACTGTTCTGATGGCATCTTGAGGCACGGAGGTGAGATGTAGTGTACGCTAGATATTTATTGAGAGCCAGATTGATGTAGTGGTTAAAGTGCTGGACTAGGAACCAGGAGATCATGAGTTCTAGTCTTCCCTCAGACATGAAAGCCACCTGGATGACTTGGGCCAGTCACTGTCTCTCAGCACAACCTACCCCTACGGAGTTGTTGTTGTGAGGAAAATAGACAGGAGCATTAGGTATGCTACCTTGAGTTGTACAAAGTAAAGGCGGGATGCAAATCCAATAATAAATAAATATTTAAAGGTTCTGTGTTTCCTCATGGAGTCCCACCTGTAGTCAAGTTGCTGATGGGCAGCACTGAGACCAATTTTATTGAGTTCTTGGAAAATCTTGCTCCCTCCCCATTCTTCCCAATTACCCATCAGACTGGAAAAAGGCAGTGCAGTGAGAGGCCAAAAAGGAGCCCTTCCCACTTTGAAAAGACAGAAAGCTGCTTTCCGGTGTTTTCCCCCCTCTCCTTTTTCCTGCTGGGCTGTTGGCACCTAGGAAAAGGCAAAGGGCACCTAGGAAAAGCTTTAATTTTGCCGCATGCTTCCTCCATGGCAGAGCGCAAGGAGATGGTGAGTGGCATCAAAAACATTGCAGTGAAGGCTGCCCGGCGCCGTTCTCGAGTGCTGGAATCCGACAGGCTGAACCTGCTGAAGCCAACCAAGGAGCTCAGCAACCTCTCCCTCCACTCTCTGAGTGAAAGCGAGGACACCCTGTGCCGGGAAACCCCTGCCCTCTGCCAGCCAACCAGTCCCAGTCTGCAACATGCCATCAGTGAGGACAACCTGTCAAGCAGTACTGGGGATACTGCTCCTGGAAGGCGTGCCCCCAGACGCTCCCCTGGTCCCTGGCTCGTGGTTAACAAAAAGGGAAGCAAGAAACTTGAGAAGAGGGAAGAATCGCTAGAGGCCAAGAGGAGGAGGCGACGGTCACGGTCTTTTGAGGTCACTGGCCAGAGGGTATGTCTCCCCTATGCCAATATTATGGGTAGCTAGGATTAAGATTCACAGCAGAACAAACTACGACGTTATCCTGGTGACTTCTCATTAACTGTGGGCCAAAGCTAACTCCCACAAGGTCGCTTCTGCTATAACCAGGCGTAAGTAGGATTTTACTAGAAGGCTGCAAGGTCACCATCAGAGTGCCAGGGCTGAGTTTCTGCTGCCATCTTCAGGGTCCTCTTAGGAAGCCTTTGAGTGAACCCTCATTCTGCTACTGTGATGCTATCCAGTGCCCTAGC